CCCAGCCAGGGACCTTGCGTAGGTCACCATCCAGGGCCTCAGAGCTGCACATGCCTTTAGACATACAATCATCGTGCAGCCCGGGAAACCAAGCCAGGATGCCGAAGGGCCCAGGTTAGGACTCAGGCGTAGCAAAGCCACCTCCACCAAGGGTCCTGTCTTGGACCACCACCACTGTGACACTATCTCTACCAATTCTGGCATTTGAGTCTTGACCAGTGTCTCGTCCCTTCTTTGGGGTTCTCTCTCCTAGTTGCATCCTCTCTGTATTGTCATTTTGCTGTGGGGCCTGGTGAGCCTCAAGTTTCCAGGATGTTGAGGTAAAGGCCTCAGAGCAGAGCCAGCTGTTCACTTGAGGGTGAGGACAGTGTGAAATGTGGGAACTGTAAAGCTGGGCTGTTGCTGGAGTCTCCCTAATAAGCAGTTTGCTAAGAGGACTGAGATGGGGGTCTCTGGGAACAGGCACCAGAGGCCTGGGTGTTTGAGCAGTGTGGGGGCTATAGATGCATGCGTTACCCCACCCTTGCCACCTCCTCCTGTCCAATACCTGGCTCCCTGAGCCTTCCAGGTGCCAAAACCTGACTGAGCCAATCTGAGAGCTGTGGTGCAGAGTAGAGCCTAGCTGAGTGCCAGCAAGCTAAGGTTTGAGCCCCGGAGGGCCAACTCACCAGGGCAGTGCAGTCCAGGACTCCCAGGAGGAGGCAGGAGCAGGGCAGGACTGGTCCTAGTATGCTGTCCTTCTGCCACTGGGGTTGGGGACAATTGTAGTTGGAGACGATGCTGCCACCAAGCTGTTGGCAAAACGAACGCTTCTCTGGGCTCGATCTAGGCTGGGCTTTAACTGGAAAATCAAATTCTTATTTGCTCAGGAAGGGCTCTGCTCCCTCGAAGCCATGTAAAATGTGGTGGCGGTCACATTCCCCCGTGGTTTTCTTCTTTAAAGAAGTAGAAAGTGTGCAAAATGGATCACACACTCATTACAGCAGCTGGCTCCTGTCACAAAGGAGCTCTGAGTGTCCTACAATGTGGGCAATGCTTTCTTAGCTGGGAGTCTTGCTGTGGGGGACAATGAGACAGCTGTGTGGAGGTGAGAGCAGGCAATGTGTGCAGCCGGCAGCAGGGGCTTCTGGGATCGGGGCACCCACTCCAGTTGCAGCACATCTGGCTCCCAGTGAGGTGGTTAGGAGACCTGCCCTGCCTCCCACTGAGGGCAGAACTCCCCACTCCCCTGGCTGACCTTTTGAAGCAACACACACATAGGTCTGGGAACTCGGTGGGCCCGACCCTTCTACCCAGCCTTTAGCTGGGTATGGCTCAAGGCAGGAGGCTGCTGTTCCTCCTCGGAACAACCTGCCCTTATATGACCCAAGGCCTGGAGACTGGCTTGCATTTCTCCAGCACACCCATGCTTCTGTTGACCTTTGCTCCTGCTCTGGGAGTTCCCAGCATCAGGCCAGAGGAAAAGAGAGCAGAATGGCCTGGGCCACCTTATTTCTAAGGAGCCTCAGAGAGTGAGAGTCAACCTGCCTGGAAACTCACAGTCATTTGCCTGTGAGGGCTGCAGCAGAGAAGGGTAACCTGGGACTTCCTGGGGGAGGGGGAGGGCAGTGAACAGGAAGAAGGTTCCAGAAAGGGGAGGAAGAAGGGTTGGCAGTACAGCTAGCTCATCCTCTTTGGATACAGGAGTTAGGCCCCCAGTATCCTATGGTAAAGAGGGCTAAAGACCAGCACATCAGGGAGCTAGGCTGTACCATAAGCCAGGGTAGTTGGTGGGGGTGGGGTGGGGGAGAGCCACCCCCAAACAGTGACCCGAGTTGTCACAAGAGGTAGGAAGGAGCTTCTTGCCAGGTGAGGGCATCTTGCCTGGGGACCACATGACTCTGGGTCTTTCTATGTACTCCCTCTGGTTCACAGGGTAAACGGGCCAGGAAGGTTGCTGTCTGGAGTCCCACAGCAAGCTGGAGGTATGCTGGACAAAATGCTGTCCTATTGGGTCCTGAACTGGTTCCCCCCCAGGCTGTCTCTGGGAAGTCCCTCTGCAGGACGATGGCTGTAGGCCCTGCACAGGACAGACACCGAACACGAGTCCCAAACCGTGGTTCACCCGGCACGCTCGTGCACATCCACTGAGCTCGTAAATAATCTCACAGGTAAAGGGTTTAATTTTCTCTCATTCGTCCTGTGTTCTTGCTGCCTCGTAAATCACAGCCATTTATGACTCTCTCTTCGGCACTTTTGCGATGGCCGATAATGGTTGAGTAAGTGGCAGAGAGGATGAATTCTGCAGCAGATTTTAAACAAACGCGCACGTTGGAGCCATAAATAACCTTAAGCAGTGCTGGGGGTGGGGACGTTCCTTCGTGGGCCACCCCTGGAACACAGCTGCAGCCCTAGGGTGGGGCTCTGACTCCCTTCAGAAGGGTCCCTTTAAAGAGTAGGGCTTGTTGCTCAGAGTTTTTCGGTTGTAATGTAGACGATCCCACCAAAGTAAACGTGCATGAGTTTGGATGTGTGAGTAAGATTGTGTGGGGACACACGTGTTCATGTGCGTGCAGTGTGAGTCTGTGGACTACCCTTTCCAGCCTAGATTTGTAGCCCAGAGACACAGCTGCTCTTTGGGTTTTGGGGTACTTTGGGTCTTAGGGTACCTTTCTTCAGGATGGGTACTATGTTGGCCCTCAGGCTGTGCTTCTCAATAGCTTGGGGAATGTCTGTTGGGGGAGTTCTCAGCCTATTGAGTTCCACAATCTGCTCCTGTTGCCCTGATCCAGAAGCCCCTGACCATCCAACGTATGGTCAGCGTTCTCCAGTATCTGTCCCAGCTCAGGGAGTGGGTATGGACAGTAGGCCCAGGGAGAACTCAGTGGCCAGGGCAGAGGCCCTGGGTACTGAGGCCTAGAAAAGGCTGGGTAGAGGCCTGTGAGTGCCCCATATCAGGCTACTGGCCGAGGGAGTATGTTGGGGTTGGCTTTTGGAGAAGGGCCACTTCTGTCCTTTCAGGGGCGTTGGTGGCTTCTCCCATCACTCACCTGTCCTTCCAACCACCCTCCCCTCCTCAGGGAAGAAAGCAAATGGCACAGAGGACATGTACTCTACACTTGCACACACATGTGCACAAGAATCAGAACACACGTACACGTATGCATGTGTGTGCAAGCACAGAGGGATGAAGAGGTGCACATACATGCCTGTTTCCCAAATGCAAGGCTCCCGGGCTACCCATTCTGGACAGCTGCACAGACGCCACCTGGACCATCTGAACCCACAGGCCCTGGGACTCCTGAGTCCCCCATTGTTTGTTCTTTGCCAGGACCTGCTTTGCCAGCAGTGGGCTTGGGCATCTCCTCATGCAGCCATAAATGTAATTGATATTCTCAGCATTTCAGGAAAAAAAATACGAGTATTAAAGATATACAGTACACCTCATAAAATTCTCTCATATTTCTTCTTTATGGTAGGTTCTAAAATTGGCAAAATAAATTCCCTAAAACCCATTACACTTAGTGCAGAGTGTGTTTTGGAGGCAGAAGGCGCAGAGCTGGGGCCTCGGGCTCTTTGCATAGAGCAGTGCGGTTCCAGCCTGGCCACGGGGCCCTTTTCCCCGACACTGGATTAAATGGGAACAGTAATTGCCTTGTTCACAGCCTCTGAGCACGGCCCAGTGCCCAGCAAGCTTAATCTCCATGCTGGGGCCTTCTGTCTTTCTCCAAGTAAAGAAAATGCAGTTGACTCCCCCATACTGGTTCTGTCTGCCTCCACGGCTACACTTCCCCGGGAATTGTGCGGTGGGATTATGCGGGTTCCCTTCCCCACACAGGTGCATACAACTGGGGCCTGGTGCTCCAGGTGGACGTTGAGCATCAAAGCCGGCTGTCTGTGAGCCGGTGGGGTAGCTCTTAGCTGTAGTTGAGTGATCTGCCCACCTCAGTTTCCTTACAACTCCCTCTTAGTTTAATTCAGATTGAAATTCATAACCCATGATTATAGATGCCTGGATTCATTGTTTATTATTTTTCCCTTTCATAAGACTGGCTTCCAAATAGCAGCCGGCCACATTATTTTCCCCCATGTTTAAAACCAATTTTATTGAGGAATAGTTTACAGGCCATAAAATACATGCTTTTTTAACAAGGTAAACTGGGGCCAGGGGTGGCTCAGTGGGTAAAGGGTGATTGCTGCTAAGACTGACTGACCTGAGTTCAAGCCCAGAAACCCACACAGTGGAGGAAGAGAACTGACTCCTAAAATTTGTCCTCTGACCCCCGCACCTATGCACGGGCACCTGTGTGCACACATACTAGTTACAAATAAATAACGGTAAAGTTTATTTTACAGACTTGTTTTATATTTCCTCAGTAGAAAAAAAAAAAAGCTAAGACAGCATTGGTACTTCTCATGTGCCCCCATAACTTGCGTCTCACACGATCACACATCTGATATCATTGTTTCTGATGACTTTGATGGCTTTGGGGAGACCTGTTAGGTGGCACGTAGGCCACCTCTGACCTCCAGGGCATGTCTGCTGTTTTGTCCCTGGCCAGAAGGGGGCTGTGGTATTGGAGCAGCCACAGGAACCCTGAGGTCTCCCCACATCTGTTCAGGGTGAGCACTGTGACGACAAGGGCAGTCAGTGTTGACCTTGAACAGCTGGCACAAGGGGAGTCAGGTGACCTAACCGAGATGTCAAAGCACCTTGTGTGCTGCCCTTTGTTCCGTTCCTGAGCACGGAGCACGTTTGTAGATGACCTGGAAGTTTCTGCTGGAAGACTGGCCTCGCCTCCATCTCTTTATTCACCCACTTGAGTTTGGACTCATGGGTGTTAATTTCATACTTTGGGTGGTAACACAACACCACGTTGTTGTTGCTCAAACTGCACAAGCTCTGGCCCCTGGGGGCTCTCCCTGTTCAGGCTCCCATCCCTGTGTCTGCCTTCCTCTTGCCTGGTGGTGTGGAAGCTCCAGGCCCATCTCATGCATTTCCTGCCTCGATTTCTCCACAGGGCTCTGTCTCCTGTCCTGGATTATCCCACTAGACACCAAGGTCTGGGTGCTGCATGCTGACCTCCCCACTGGCTGTCGAGTGAACGAGAGAGCTACTGGCCATCTGTGTCTCTGCTAAGCTCAGCACATGTGGGCTTGATGTCTCCAGTTCCGGGCTACTCCATACAGACATTTCAGCCTCTTCCTTTGCTCACTTGGAACGCTCACACCAGCAGCGAAGACCTTGGTACCCACCATCTGCCCTCTGTCCTGCTAACTCCAAATTCCAGCAGGTAGGCAGTGGTGTCTATGGTATATTGTCCCTGCCGTTGACGGGCTCCTCGGGTGACTTAAGGCAGCCCCTTCTCTGAATTCTAGAGAGGCTGGCTCCTACACTTGTACTTGGATGCAATTCCACAGTCACTGCCAGGTCATCTTTCTGGAATCTGACCTCTTCAACGATGTTTCAAAGTTTTTATATATTAAGGTCTATTCTTGCTGTAAAGCTCTGGAGTCATGACAAATGTACATTGCTGTGTGTTGCTGTTTGGATCTGGACTATTCTCAAAGGCCCATGTGAAAAAAATTTGGTTCCCAGGCTGGTGTCCAGCCAGAAGGTGATGGCAGCATGGGGGGTCCAGTCTAGAGATGTTCAGATCATAGTCAATGTGTCCCTGACCAGAAGTGTCATGGGTTTCTTCATGGGTTTCTTCCTCAGTATTTTTTTTTTTTTTTTTTTTTTTTACTGGCAACCAGGCATAGAGTTTGCCCCAGGTCCAAAGCAGTGAGTCTGATTGGGTTTAGTTTGAAACTCCCAAAGCAAGTCTTTCGTCTTCGTAAGTGTCTCATCTCAGCTGTGTCCCCTCCAGAAAAATCTGGCTAATACCCCATGTGTCCACTGGAACCGTGTCACACACCACTGTCTTGTCTCATGGCTCCTAATGTCCCCTTTGTTTTATCTGGTCATCTCTACTTCACTCTGACTCCTGGCTAATGGTTGGTTTGTTTGTTTTTAACTGTTTTCAGAGTTTGCCTTTTGCAGAACACTGTATGTGTGAGCCACATAGCCTGCAGCTTGCAGACCTTCTGCTTCTCTTCCTTTGTGACACCCATTTTAGGTTCTGGCATGCCTCTGGTGGCTTGATAGTTCCCTTCTTCTTATCACTGAATAATATTCCAGTGCATGGATGCAGGCACCGGGAATTGCTAATCCAGTGACCAACTGAAGGATATCTTGGTTGCTTCCAGTTTTTAGCCGTCATGAATAAAGCTGCTATAAATAGTTGAGACAGGCTTTTGTGCAGACATACGTTTTCTCAGGAGTTGGGTGAACACCTAGGGTCTCAACTGCCAGATCATACAGCACGACTATGTTTAGCACTGTAAGGAAGTGCCAGTCTGTCTCAGAGTGGCTGCCCCATTCTGCAGTCCACCAGCAGTGAAGAAAGTTCCTGTCGTCTCCACGTCCTCACTGGCTGTGGGTATCGCTGTGTTTTGGAGCCTGGTCACTCTGGGATGTGCACAGTGGTACCTTGTTATTCTAAACTTGTATATCCTCAATGAAAATGGGTGCTGAACAGCTGTCCACACCTGGATTTGATATTTGCCCAGCCTTTTTTATTATTTTTTTTTATTTTTTTTATTTTATTTATTTATTTTTTTTTTTTTGCATGGAATGTTAGCCATGTTTTCCTGGTATCTCAATCAGATTGTCTGTTTTGGGCACATGTTCTTTATCCGCTATGCATGTGTTTTATAACGATTTTCTCCTAGTCTGTGGCCTGCCCATTTGTTCTCTTGGTGATACTGCCCCAGAGTAGAAGTTTTTAATTTACAAAGGTCCCAGATGTCCGTTTTTTCCTTTTGTACTTGTGTTTTTGTTGCAAGTGAAAAATCACCATCAAGTCCAAGGTCACTAAGGTTCTCTGTGGCTGCTTCTAGAGGTTTTATAGTTCTGTAGTGTGCATTTACGTCTACGATCCTTTTTGAGATAATTATTGTACAAAATGTCTCCAGTCTGTGTCTAAATCGTGATTATTTGTACTGTATCATCTACCAAAAGCCCATCTTTCTCACCCATTGCCTTGCTCCTTGTCAAAGGGAAGGTGACAGCAGAGCAAGAGGGTCCTGCTGGGTCCCTGCTGCCCTCCTCTGACCCATGCTGCTGCCTTGCCCGCAAGGCCTCTGTGGTGGTGTTGAGCTTTGGAACTGGTTTGTCTGCAGCCGTGCTGTGCTGTTGTTTTCTATTCCCTGGGTAAGCCGAGTCAGGCTGCTGGTGTCTTCTGAGTCTTTTGTGGCTGCATCAGTGGCTCACACAGAACAAAGGCAGCATGGTTCGACTCTTCCTGGTTGCCCAGGGGACAGACAGCCTTGCCTTTAGTTGGGCATTTTTTTGATCCTTCTCTGAGTTTTGTGGCTCTCAGTGCGCAGATTGTAGATTCTCTTCAGACTTTGTTAGCTTCTGATTTAGGCATTTCACCTTAGGGGTGGTGCTGTGACTTGCATTTTTTTTTTCTTTTTTAATTTCAAATTCCAATGGCTTATTGCTGGTAAGCAGAACCATCTTCCTTGCAACCTTGCTCTACTTATTTGTTCCAGGAGATGGATTAAGTTAGTCATTTGTTCATCCATCCATCCATTCATTCATTCACTCACTCACTCACTTGCTCATTCATTCATAAATTGATTTTCAAATGTGGGGATTATATCTGGGATAAATCTCACTCGGTAGCTAATGAAACTTCAGTTTGCTTGAGTTTTACATCTCTGTTCTTGGTCTGCACTTTCCTTATGCTGTCCTTATTTGGTTTGGGTATTAGGACGACAGTGGTCTTGCAGGGTGAGTGAGGGGGTGGTCTGCTTTGTGTGAGAGGTTGTAAGATGGTAGTTACCCCTCACATAGTTGTGAGGACCCCGGTGAAGGTGGCATTGTTCTTTTCTGAAGGTAATAGTTATTTCAGTTATAAAAATAGACTTTCCGTCTCTGGGACAAGTTCCTCAGAGAAACAGTTTCTGCTCACACTTTGCAAGGTATCAGATCATAGTTGGCTTCTTTGTTGTGGGCCCAAGATGAAGCTGGTCACGATAGTGAGAAGGTTGTGATGGGCAAAGGCTCGCCTCAGGGCGGCAGGAAGCAGATACGGAGAGAAGAAGGGGCGAGGAGCAACATGTTCCCTTCACAGGCAAAGCCCAGTGACGTTTCCTCTGGCTAAACCCCAGTTTCCACGGCCTCCGGTGGTCCATTCAACTTCTGAGTTGAATGGGGTGTGAGCTTGTGTGTGTGTGCATGTTAATGTGTGCATGTGTGTGTGTGAGTGTGTGCATGTGAGTGTGTGCTTGCGTGTGTATGTGTGTGCATGTGCACATGTGTGTGTATGTGAGTGTGCATGTGTGTATGGGAGTGTGTGCATGTGTGCGTATATGTGTGTGCATGTGTGTGTATGTGAGTGTGTGCATGTGAGTGTGTGCATGTGTGTGTACACATGTGTGTGAGTGTGTGCATGTGTGTATGTGAGTGTGTGCATGTGTGTGTATGTGTGTGTATGTGTGCGTATATGTGAGTATGTACATGTGTGTGTATATGTGTGTGCATGTGTGTGTATGTTAGTGTGTGCATGTGTGCATATATGTGAGTGTGTATGTGTGTGTATATGCAAGTGTGTGCATGTGTGCGTATATGTGAGTGTGTGTGTATGCAAGTGTGTGCATGTGTGTGTGTGTGTTGCTGGTGGTGAATGCCATCCTGACACAGGTTCTATTACTGATCTCCACGCCTAACCCTATTCAAAGTTTGAGCTATCAATAGATTAATTCATTGATCAGGTCAAAGCCCTCACAATCTCGTGGTCTCTAGAAGTGAATTTACTGACCTCCTAGGCGTCAGCCAAACTGGCCATCAAGACAAACTATCACACAGCCCACATCGTTTCTTTATTCTTCCTTGTGGACTTTGGGATCATTTCCTCTTAACATTTCACATTCATAAGTACAGAGTTGCCGCCTGGCTATGTTTTGTCAGTGTTCTCGTGTCTGGATGGGCACAGTTTCTGGCTTTCATTTCCTATGTTTGTCTCAGCCTGCCCGGAGTCCTATAGCTTTTATAGACCCTTTCAAAGAGCAAGCTTTGGGTTTCATTGATTTTTTTTTTCTTCTAATGCCTTTTCCCCTTTAAGTTCTCCGATTTCCACTCTAATTTTTGCTTCTTTTTATCTTCCTGCTTGCTATCATCTTAAATTGTTCTGTCTCTGGTTCCTGAGATGGAGGCCCAGGCTACTTATTTTGGGCTTTTCTTCTTATCTAGCATTCGTATTACGGCCATAAATGGCCCCCAAGCTGGGCCGCTGTCAGAGACAGAGGTCCTAAGTTGATGCTCATTTCTTTTCCTTGAGACTTTGCCTTTGAGGTGTGTTGTTTAATCTTCAGATGTTTGGAGGGATTTCCAGATACCTATGGCTGAGTTCTAGGTTCACCGCTCTGTGATAAGAATCCACGTGACGTGTGCCTTGTATCACTGTGAGTGGCCCATGCTGGTGGATGCACCATGTGAACTTGAGAAGAGTGTGTTCTCTGCCACACTGGTGGAGTGTTCTGGAATCATCCATGGATCAAGCTGATAGACAGCACTCCCAGTGTCAGCGAGATGATGTCACTGACAGCAGCAGCAGGCTCCTTTGTTCTTAATAGCTCTGTGAGCTTTTGCTTACTTATCTGAACTTTTCAGAATGACAGGGCTGGGTTGGCGAAGGCACAGACTGAAGACGGGGTGATGCGTTAGTTTAGAAGGTCCCGGGGCTCTGTGGTTCCCTAGCTACAAGGAAGCCCCGACTGTTCCAGTGAGGCTAGGTATTCAGATCACCTGCCTGCAGCATCTATTCACTCTCTCAGGTCCCTGTTCCCTACTTTTGGCCCCTGTCATGGGGGTTTATTCTCATCTCCCTCGGATGCTTGGTTTAGCCTTGGGTCATGCCTTTTGAGGATGGTGTGAGTAACTGCAGAACCTTGAGAAGACAGGCTTTCTCCACGAGTGTGGAGCAGCCTGGGGATTCCTGTGTACCACCCACCAGGATGGTTACTGTGTTCATGATGTCTGCAGGCTAAAGCAATGCAACCCAAGTGGGAAGAAGTTTCTGTCCAGGTTCTCAGGCTGGGTCACAGACTCATCTGGAATCTTCTGAGTAGTATAGAAACTAGAACCTAGGATGGGGGGCACTTGCAAGGGTAAACCCTGAAATCAGTGTCATGGCTAGGGCTGGTCAGGGCAGAGTAAGGAAACTGTGACCGAGAGGCACTGGAC